GGAGAAGCTGTAATTACGGTGCTTAATTGCTTGCCTAAACAATTTACCTAATGCTGTGGTGAAATCTCCAATACTTCCATTCTTTCAGTTGAAGCTTCGTGTCTTTTACAAGAAATATTCTTTAGCTCAACAAAAGCTTTGTGGAGTAATAGTTTGGTAGAGTTCAGTGCTGTACACAGTGCAGAAGGGGCAGAGGAGATGATCAATGAGAAGGGTTTCAAAGCCGTGATGTTAGGAAGATTTAGGAGATTTTAGTCTGGGATGGGGCAGTGAATTTGGGTAGTGCCAAAGTGGTCAGTGATAAGGAGTCACAGGAAAAGCTTGTAGCAGCCATATCAGAAGTGGAGCTGTTGAGTTACTGCTCACCAAGGAGGATGGCTGTGTGTGAGAGTGGCAGGCAGAAATGCAGAAGTCTTGTGCCAAGAGAGAGGGAGATGTGACACTGATGGGGGAGCAAGAGGTTGCTGCCCCTCTGGGAGAGTTCCCAGGGGCATGGGCTCTGATGGCAAAAGTTGTTCCAGCCTGACTGTGTTAAATGTTGCGGGGCTAGATTTATTCAGGTTTGCTAGGAAGGGGCTTGTCGAATGCAAACCATGCCTGATGAATTACTTGCTTGGGGAAGAAATGTAGGGGAAACTGCAGATTTAACCTACAGTTTAATTTTTTACTGAGAGCTTGGTGGTCCAGCCATTGACTTGAGCATCAAAGGAGTAGTAATAGGTGGCTTGTCCAGCAAAAGGCCGGTGAGACGCGCTGTTCTCCAGTGGGGGGGATTGTTTCTGAAGAACCAAAGTGATCAGATTAGGTTTGGTAGTTTTTCACTCTATATGCTGTTACCCTCGAAGGAGGAGCTTGCTGTATTCACCCTTAGAGATGGGTAATGCAGCTATTTTAACAGCTCCCTCCCTGACAGCCAAGGTGAGTGGATGCGCTTCACAACATTATGTTGTGCCAGTGTGCATGCTCCTAGAATGATTTTTCTGGTCCTGCTTTTTGGGTTCCCCCAGCTCATCAATATTGATGCTCCTTTTGTTGTGTTTTACCTGTTCCTTGGTTCTCTCAATATGGTTTGTTCTTTTTATTCTCTCAGTTTCTCAGTGACTTTAGCCTTCTTGCAGCCACTGACTTCTGCAATCCTCCACATCCCACATTTAGTTTGAAACTTCTGAAAACAATACTTTTTACTGTAGAGCTGGCAGAAGTAACTTTTTTGAAGGAAACACCTGAAAGACAAAAGTGAAACGTGTTTGCTGGCTAGACAGAAAAGCACTGCCTTTACTTACTGGGGGTTCTCACCCAAGTGTAGGAACCACAATGATGCAGAGCTGGTGGCATATGTAAGAGTAAGTTTAGAGTAAGAGAATTGGTTGTAAGCCCAGGTTTCCCTGTGCTGTTTTGTTTACTTGTCCACATCACAAAATGTTCATCTGTTTTGCTTTAAAGAAGCTTCTGATTGAAAACAAGGCGATATTGCAGGGAATGGTGGGGAGCACTGATGACTTTGCCTGAATTAGCCAGGGGGCTCCACCATGGGAGAAGTTTGCAGAGACAGGTGGAGGGCTGTGCCCATCTGCATGCCACTGTCCCTTATATTTTGCCTTGCTTTTGGCCTTTTATCAGATGAAAAAACGGGGGGAAAATAACAGCAAATCCAGAAGTTTAGCTACTGTTGTTAGAGAGATTCATTCATTTTCTTAGATGAGGAAAAGGGAACTTGCTGAAAACGTTGTCAAGGCACAGATAGCAAAAATGAGTGTCAGCAAATGCATGACAGAAATGAGAGGGGAAGAAAGAGGAAGAGAAAAAGCTAACGGGGAAACAATTTGAAAAATACCACCACCAAAACAAATGCATTGGAGGGTAGCTGAGAGGGAGTTGCGTGCCAGCTTACAGTCAGCAATTGAGTTATAGCAGTGTGGTCTTCATGCTCCCCAACTGTCCATAAGAGCAGTCTGCTTTTTAAGCTTGTTCACTGAGATTCACATCATATTCAGCCATCCCCAGCACTGTGCAACCTGGCTGCTGAAGCAGATATTCTTGGTTTGTGCATCACTCAACCCAGCCCTGCCATCAGCTTGGCAGCCCATGAGAGCTCAGTGGGATCGAAGTGTATTGTCTGGGAGGTTGTTAAGGAAAAACTAGGGAGCTGCCAGAACAGGAATGAAGATAATCTGGTCAGTTCTGAGATATTTTTTTTTATTTTTTTTTTGCTTTGAATCACTGTGGAGGTAAAGTCTCGGGCCTGAGGGTGCTTCACTCAGCAGGATGCTTTCATATGAAACGTCAAGCCAGGGGCTGAAAACCTGTGAGAATAAAACTCTAGGATGCTTTTAGCAATGGGTAAGTTATAGTCATCTTTGGATGTAATAACTGCAGAGTGCAGAGTTGTCCTGTTTAGCTCTTAAGGCTGAATGCCCTCATTGTTTTCTGCTCTTAAAACCTAGATAGTTGCCTGAGTTTTACTGCCGTGTTTTACATTTTTGAAGGATGTGGGAGGAGGAGGCAGCAGTGTAGGTGAATCTTACTACTCAAGTGGGAGTTGTTTTCTAGGTCTGTCAGGGCTGGTGCTGGTAACGGGAAGTACCAGGCAGTGGGAGCGTGGTTCGCGTGCCCTCCACCCCCACCCATTGTGGCTGGTTTCCTCTCCAGCCCTGTGGGGAGGACCTGCCTTTCACTTCTTGCTTTCAGAATGATGCTCCCCACTGATGATGTGAGGTCAGAAGGCAGGCATATGTGGGAGGGAAAGTTGTGTCCTTTCAGCTCGGCCTTAGATGCTTGTCCATCTCCAGGGTGCTCCTGCCATGCCCCATCTGCCTCATTTCTAGCCAGTCCCTCTGTGCTGGCCCTGGTGGCTTCCCTTCACTGGTATCAGATGTCTAGCACAACAGGCTCATCTGTCAGTGATAGGGATCGCGAAACCGCTGCACGCCTGCCAAGCAGTCAGACACGGTGAGGAAGAGTCACAAGTGTTGGGGCTGATGTTTGGCACTTGCCAGTTCCTCTGCCACACGAGGAGGTGGAAGATGAACACAAGTTGCATGTCTCCTAGTGCTGAGTCAGACATTGGGACTTTAAGTAGACATGACTTCTCAAGTAGAAAACCTGTTACCTGGAGCAAACTTACTGGGATGGAATAAGCACACAGATAGATATATACACATTAGTTTTAACAGTCATTGCTGTTAGCTGGAGGTACTGTCTGCACACTGCGATGTGGAAACTGTTCCTTTCCCCCAAACTGTCTCAGCATTGCTAACAGCATATTGCTAGGACAAGGTTATCCATGCAGGAACCTACAGGGCTGCTTTCTCTAATTTATACCCAAAGGCGGTCTTTGATAATGAACTCAACTGTATTTGCGCCACCATGATGCTTGTAGGATGCAGGATGAGTTGGCAAAATAGGTCTGCTCCTATGTCCCAACAACTTAGTCTTGATGTTTCTAGTGATGCGTAAGCCCATATTAGGAGAAAGGAGAAGTAAAGTGTGGTTTTGGCTTAGTTTTCTCTAGGTAGACTTAAATATGCTATCAGAATATGCTTTCTTCCTGATGAAATGATCCGTATAATCCTGGGGGCTGGTTGAAGAGCTCGGTGTTGTTTGTTTCTCTGAGAAGCATGTATGCATGGAAGTCTTAGCTGTGAGGCACCAAGGATATGCCCAGATAGGCTAGGAGTGAACCTGTGACTGAGTTCGTGCGTGGTATCCATGAGCTCTGTGGGCTGTACTCCTCAGCTTTAGAAGTACCTCCGTGTGATCCATTCAAATAGCTGCATCCATGACCACAGAGCTGTAGCACTGTGGACTTTGGTCGCGATTTCACTCCAAGGGGGTCTACGCCTGCCGGAGGCCATGCTGTGTTCCCTTTCCTCTTCCCACCCTGAGCTCAGAACTGTTCACCCCAGCTAGTACAGCCCTTTGGTGCCGCACTCAGCAGAGCTGCAACTCTCCTGCATCTCAGCCCTGGCAGATTGCGCTTAGTGCTGCAGTGCAAGACCACTTCTGCAATTCCAGCAGCCCCTCTGCTTTGTCCCGTTGTTCCCAGATGGAAGTGCCTTTCTGCAGTGTCAGTCTGCTAATGTCTCCCATGGCCTAGTGCTATCTCTTGCACTGATCCTTTTCCATGAACAAATCTTCCCCGATCAGGTTGCAGCTGCCTGCTGTTTTCAGTAGTCTTGAGGCATCCTGACACCAAAGAAGATCGTGGGCAGAAGTGACAGGGTGCTCAAGAGCTCCAAAATTAGCATTGACTTTTGTCTGTGTGGGGTCTTAATTTCTTCATCACATCTCAAATCCAGCTCTGTAGGACCTTTGGATGGTACTGTAGGACCATCACTGCTACCCAGCAAGTGTGGGTTGTGCATGGTGAAAAACACTTGTTCATTGCAACAAACAGGGTTTTTTATGGGCAACATTTTCAGCAGCATCCGAGTCCAGTTCTCAAAAGTGATGTAGGCTTTTAAGAGGCCAAAGCCAAGATTTTCATAAATAAGTAATGATTTGGGCTGCCTCTGTTTTCTGTTACACAAGTCGAGATGTCTAAAAGGAGCCTGGTTGTCAGCAGTTGTGGGATTCTGGCATTTTTTTCAAAATTAACATGCTTTTAAAATATCTTAAGCTGGACATTCAGAAATGGAAGCATCAAGAATGATTAGCAGCATTTGATATCCTTTTTATTAAAAGTTTGAATGAAAATCACTGGGACATGGGATCCTAAATGATGTGAAAAACTGCTAAAGGTGTTATTCTGGAAGTGTATCTGCTTGCACATACCAGTGATGACCTGATCAGTAATTTTGACCTCCTGGAGAAAGAAATAAAAACTTCTATCTTAAGTCTTATACATTAGGACCAATATGTTTAAAGGTAAGCATGCACAGGTTAAATGTGTTAAAGGGGTTTGTAGGTTTGATTTTATAAACCAGTAAAGTAGTAGGTTTGCAACTGTATTTCCCTAGCCTAAATTCCTTAAGTGTGTCTCTCTTTAGCTCTCCTCTCAGATCTGAACCATGTCCCACCCGTCCTGGCTGCCACCCAAGAGTACCAACGAGCCTGTTGGTCACGTTACTGCAAGGATGGAGACCACACACACCTTTGGGACTCCCAGCATCTCGGTGTCCACCCAGCAGACGCCAAAGAAGTTTGCCCCTGTTGTTGCCCCCAAGCCAAAGTACAACCCATACAAGCAACCGGGAGGTGATGGTAAGTAATTTATTTTTTTAGGAAGGAGACATAACTGTCTAATTCAGAGGGATTGACTGCAAACACAGGCTGTTCTTGACTTGCTCTTTGTTGATGAGTTTGTGGGAGCCTCCTTGTTTCAGATCATTCAAATCACTAAGAATGTGAAGGTATCTCTTGCCCTTGCTCTGGCTAGCTATCCTCCTGAGAGTTGCAGGGCTGGGGGAGGACATGGGGACAGGTCTTTATTTTTTTTAATTGGAAGCAGATGTCCTGTGTCCAAGACTGGTACTTTTCAAGAGGTTTTGCTTGTTTGGTCTCTTCTGGCATGTGTTGATCCAAGGAGCTTGAACAACCCTTTTCAGTGTTGGTTCTTTCATCCCAGCGCAATGGGAATCCTTTACACACATGGGGTTGAGCTATGGGCGTATGGGTATAAATGGGTGGTAGGGTGTGAGTTTGGCAGAATGAGTCTAGGAATGCTTCCTCTCCAGCCTTGCTGGTTTGGTTCAGTTTTACTTTCATCCTTTTCTCTCTACTATGGAACACTTTTGAATATGAAATAATTTAATGAAATAATTCTGAGGGAATTTACATGACCATTGCAATAGCCTTTGTTGGGTGTGGGAGCTGGATTCCTGACTTGTGGACACATGGAAGGAGGGAGTTCCCAGCAGTGGGAGCGCATGACTGGGAGCACCTCTGGGGTTTGCAACTGGAAACCTGCCAGCTGGAGCACCCAGGAGGCCCCTGTCTGACAGTGGAGAGCATGATGGAACCATACTGCAGCAGAAACTACGTGGAAGCTAAGGAGTTTAGGAGGGAGTGGTAGCTGTCTTAGCAGAGTAGTGACTTTTCTATTCCTGGTGATTTACTATGGTTAAAAATCAGTGGAAAACTCTTCCCTTTCTTCCTCTCCATCCTCCAGCCAAAGAACAACTTAGTTGTATTCAAGAAAATTGCCAAACCCGCTTTTGATTTTTGTTTTTGGATGGTCTACTTTGTTCCATCACTGTTTTTCCCTCTTTTGTGTGGAATGCAGTAAGATAAATGTCATCTGTATCTTTTTTTCCTTTTTCTACTGTATCTTTTGAAAGCATATGCATTTTCAGGAAGACTACAGAATAATGCAAAGGAGAAAGAAAAACAAAGCAGCATATTGAATCTTGCACTTGAGAGATTCTCTAAAGTTAAGGACATTTTGTAGGAAAGTTGGAAAAGTCTGACAAGTGTTTCGTTTTTTTTCCTCTGCCACTCTAACTTTGGAGAATTCAGAACGAAAAAAGAAAATGTGTTGGTGGGGAAAAGCGAAGTCATATGCACCTGTTCTGTTGCCTTCAGTAACAAAACATTAGCGAGTAAGAGGAAGAGAAAGACATTTGGAATTAAAAAAGAAAAAAAAAAATCCATTTCTGAAGTGCAATGAAAATGCCACCTTCAAGTCAATTGGAAATTCTTACTTTTCTATTAAAATTTAAAATAATAGAAAATGACACTATTTTTTTTTCTCTAGGAAATCTGTTGTTGATCAGCCACCATTTTTTGTGAAAAAAAAATGTCAGTATGTCTTAATTGTCAGTGCTTTAGTGATTGTAGATCCAATTATATGTGACACAGGAACATTATCACATTCTAAAAAATTATTTGTTTCTTGGTGTTTGGGGGAAGAAGCTTTTCCTAAGAGCAGAGCAGGCATTCCAGGCTGAGAAGGGGACATTTCTTGTTCAACCCTGATGACCCAGTCCCGCAAGCAGCTGAGCATTGCCATGTCTGTTAGAAACTGGGAGACATCAGGAGCTCACAGGGGACTTTTTCATTGCTAATCCCTTGCCTTGTCTGATGCTGGGCTTTTGGAGATCTCATCGTTATCTGACAAGCCTGGAAGAGCTAAGGGTTGGCCAAGACCTGGTCAGGCACTGGCTTAGTGAAGTGACAGCATGCCTGCAGCTTAAGCTAATCCACTTTCAGAAGGTGACACGCTGCTGGCCGTATATAACCCTAAGAACATGAGGCTTCTGGGATCTGGCAGGCAAGAGGAGGACAGTGAGAAAATATTTAGCCCAACATGCTTCATTCACTCTCTGTTGCTCCCCTCTCTCCTCCAGGCTCCCTAATTATTTTTTCAATGACCTCCATTGTTTTTGCAGCAGTAATTCATCCTGGGGGATGACTCCATGCCCCACTGGTTCCCTGCATAAAAGGGCACTGTGAGTCATTTTGCCTAAATTTGTTCTCTGTTGGTCACAGGTCTTTCCCCTCTGGTTAGCCATGAATCTGTAGGTGGAAGAGCTGCAGAATCCCCTTTCACACCCTGGTGTGTTTTCATCCCTCCTGCCTCACCAGAGCTGCTTCACTGAAGGCACGTGGGCTTTCTGCTCAGTGTGCGGGTAGCACGTAGTGCAGCATCCTTCTGCTGGAGATGAGTGTGAGCAGTGACACTGCTCCAGGGAAGGGCTGTCCCAGGGCAGCCACTGGGCACGTCACAGCCTGGCACAGCCTTGCTTGCCCCAGCTGTGTCACTGGTGTTACTTCCCCACTACCAAAGGCTGCATGGATGGTATCAGGAATTGCTCTGGGAGACCAGTAAATTCTGTTCCTGGTAATTTCTTCAGCTCATTGCTTTTAATATTCGGGAAAATGCAGCCTCTGGCCTTGTGTTTCTTGATTATTACGTCACTCACACATAGCAGGTCTGCTCACACTTGCAGTTTTATTTCCTGATCACATTGAAAGTGGGGGGGAAAGACACTGGAGTGACAGGCTGTGGAGCAGGACTTGTGTGCACAGGGCAGGATTGGCTTTACCCTCCTCTCCCTTGCACCAAGGCATTTCCTTGGTCTCACCTTGATTTTGATTTTATTTCTTTTCCCCCAACATCCACACAAAAATCAGCCAGAAGGTGCTGATTAAAAGCCACTCAGTGGAACTTGAAAAGAAGTTTGAAATGGTTAAATGACTGAAAAAAGTGGAATTGCAACAGCCTTTAATGTGACTTGAAGCACTCAAGGTGTATGTGGTTTAGACCAGCTAAGTGAGCAATTTTCCTAGTGCTGCCAGCCCCCCCTCCTTGCTGTTAGCCATGCTGACTCACTGTGACTTGATTCAAACTAGATTTATCAATTCATCAAAGCAGAGACCCTGTCTTGCTGTCACAGGGATCCATTTGGGGGTCCCAGGCATGACTGCAGTAGTAGTAGTAATAATAATAATAAAGACGACCACAGCTCTGATTATTATCCTGCATGGGTATCTGCTGTGCAGCTAGCCAAAGAGGCAGGCACAGGTGTGTTTTTATAGGTACTGCAAACACCAAACCAGACTTCCACATGCTGTGGTCTGGGCTGGGTTTCCGGAGGATTTAGTGCTCATGTTCCCCACTGTGACAGCTCACAGGGGATTAACCTTGCCTGATCCTGGAAGGCATGAGCACCGTAGTCCCCAGGATGTACAGGTGCCCAATGTCTTAGTTCTTTATTTATCCCACAGAGGGAGAAGAGCTGTTTGAGCTTGGGGAAGATGGTTTTCTACAAGATAAACAAGAGTGCATGGGGAGGAAGTGTAGCTGCTAATGAGTTAGGCTGGAAATCAAAACTAGATGTCCAGATATTTGATCACTGGCTCTGAAAGAGTTCAACCAGGGCCAAGGGTGGTCCTTGGATGGAGCTGAATATGTTTGAAGTTTGAGAGCATCTTCTCTTTATGCTGGGGGAAGGTGGGTCCTGAGATGCAGGAGACATCATTCAGCCACAGGTCCTGACAGTCCACTTCATATATTTAGCTCCTTTCTCTATGTTCATGGGTGTGGTTTTACCTGTCTCCTCCCTCTGTTCCTCAGCAGACTCTGTCCAACAGTGTGCATAAGAGGTCTTGTCCTCTGTATTTGCTGAGCAAAAAAATCTCTTAAGCAAAATAATGCCTTTTTCCAAGGAGATGGTATTAATTTTGTTTCCTTTAAAAGCATTGGATGCCCTGTTATTGGAAGTGCTCAAGGTCAGGTTGGATGGGGCTTTGAGAAACCTGATTTAGTGAGAGATGTTCCTACTGATGGCAGGAAGGCTGGATTAGATGATCTTTGAAGGTCCCTTCCAACCCAAATCTTTCTGTGATTGCCCTCCCTCCATTCCCTGCAGCTAATTTCTCTCCTGCTCTCCAGCTTTTACACTTAAATTGGTATTTCAGCATCTTCAACAGAGCTGGGGCCTTGGGGAAATGCTGCCACACAGCTGTTCCCATCTATGCTGGGCTCAGGAAGATGGAGAAGATTTATAGCTTGCACATGAAGCAAATTGCCTTTTCTCCTCTTTTCCCTAGTCCCAGAAAATAGGGCCTCACCCTCTAGGGCAGACTAAGGAGGTGTCTGACACAGAACAAGGTTGGTGATGGTTGATCCACCGGCTTTGTGTGTGCTGCGGTGGGGTTGGGGGCAGCAGTGCTGGCTCGATCTTGCACACTCCATGGCACAGAGAGGAGAGCTGGCAGCTGCTCCCAAATGAGTTCCGACAGGGCAGTCAAGGTATGCTGGAATGGCGCTGGGGGTTGAGGCCAAAATTGGGGTTCAAAAATGTGTGAAAATCTGTTGTCAGTCTGAGACACTCAGAAGAGCCTGAGCTGGGGGTCTTCGGGCTGTTGAATGGCTTGAGTGCAATGAGTGGCAACGTTTACAGTGTGATTTGCCTTTTTGTTTGGATCCTTTTGGTTTCAAGTTTGTTTTCATAGCTGCAAAAGCTCTTTTCCCCTTGCCTTTCCCCCTCCCCTCCAAATAAAACTCTGCAGACATGAAGCAGTGCAAGTTCAGGAGAAACTATACTGTGCTGATGTGGGTTGAGCACAGCCGGTGAGAAGGCCAGCTGCGTTGCAGGGTTGGGCTTTCCAGTCATGTGTGGTCACTTGAAGGATGATTTGATCGTGTCAGGGAAGGGAATGAGTCCATGCTCTCCTACTGGGAAGTCCCAGATCATTGCTTGGCACCCAGTAGGTCTCCTGGTCCTGCAAAGATGACTGTCTCCACGCCCAAGAAACCA